TTCACAAAAGATCAAAATATCTTATGCTTGCAAACCACAATCTCATTCCTAACTGATACAATAAACTGGGAAGTGTGTAAATTGTGCATCTCAGAAGTGTTTACCAGAGCACATCAACACTGCGTAATACTTGCAGAATTTCACCCCAGACTTGGCTGCATTTCAGTGGTGGGTGAAATGCTTTCGGTAGTCTGGAGAGCCTTTGGAATTGAAGGGCAATATATAAATGTAAGTCATTATCCTTGTTAATGGCTTTGCTATTCATTAAATCTCACATCACATCCATTGTGCTTAATTCCCCTAACAGCCATTAGACTCTTTGGCAGCAAGAAAGCATGAAGAAAGGGGACAGAGCTACACAGCAGGAGACCGCAAAGAACTGGGACAAATTTCAAGAACACTTCAGCAATTTGAAGCTAAGCAAAGAGCTCTAATGCAACAAAATGGTTTTAAACTTCTCCCCCTCTCCCTAACCAAACATTTTAACACATAGGAAGAAATGGTGACCCAATCCATATTGTACTCCTCGTCCTATCTTCCTTTTACAAATTAAATTTCCTGTTGGGTCCGTTGTGCTTCATCTCTGAGAAAATACAAGCAAATGAAGCTTGTAAGGAGGTGCTGCCAAAATCCTAATGAGCGGCATTCCCAATGTATTGAATGAGAAGCAAACGTTTTCTCCTATAAAATAATGTGGGCAGGGAGAGATGGCAGCATGAGTGCCTGAGCTACACCACCAGCCAAGAAGCTTAGAGCGCGCTGGTGTGAAGAGTAAAAAGAAGCATTGTGTCATTCACAAGAGAGACAGTCAGAATTGCAGAAGCACATACAAAAAAGGATTAGACATCCTCACACCAACTGCACAAGGCACCATTCAGCCCAGCTGGAAAAATATACTAGTTCCACCCAGAAACAAAACAAAGCAGGATTTCCGGGAAGAAGACAAAGTTCAGGGTCTCTGTCGCTGAAGATAAAATCTAGACTATTGGACAGCAGTGATTTAAAACTTAGATTTAGAAAGAGTGCATGATGCTCTCTTTATTATTTCATGGGACTGTGGAAACATTGCCTATGTAAAATGGTAACCAAAAGTCTTATGGACCATTTCAATATGCACACATGCACACACACTCTTACTTGTTTGCCACTTTAATTAAACTCTGTAGAAAAACTTAAGATCTGTCACTTTCCTGGTAGCATCCTTTCCTTATGGGACACACCATTCAAGGATCATATAAAACTTCAAATGGAGCACAGTCAAGCAGCAAAATCCACAGGAGTTATCTACAAGAGGTTATGCTTCTGCACTACCTTTTCTAAAAGCTTCCTTGTGTATGGGATTTTCAATAAAACAGAGAGCCTATTGTGATGCTGTATGGAATCTGGGGGACACTTGAGAATATTATGAATATTAATATTGTAAAATTGCAATGAGTTATGCCAGATATGCCATGTACGATATCTGCAAAAATGTTATGATTTGCCAAATATGATAATCTCATTTATATGTTTGTATCACTTTTGTATTATAAGTTATAGATATGTTTAGTATCAGAGGGGTACCCGTGTTAGTCTGGATCTGTAAAAAGTGGCAAAGAGTCCTGTGGCATCTTATAGACTAACAGACGTATTGGATCATAAGCTTTCGTGGGTGAATTACCCACTTCGTCAGATACATGTAGTGGAAATTTCCAGAGGCAGGTATAAATATGCAGGCAAGAATCAGTCTAGAGATAACAAGGTTAGTTCAATCAGGGAGGATGAGGCCCTCTTCTAGCAGTTGAGGTGTGAACACCAAGGGAGGAGAAACTGCTTTTGTAGTTGGCTAGCCATTCACAGTCTTTGTTTAATCCTGAGCTGATGGTGTCAAATTTGCAAATGAACTGAAGCTCAGCAGTTTCTCTTTGAAGTCTGGGCCTGAAGTTTTTTTGCTGCAGGATGGCTACCTTTAAATCTGCTATTGTGTGGCCAGGGAGGTTGAAGTGTTTTCCTACAGGTTTTTGTATATTGCCATTCCTAATATCTGACTTGTGTCCATTTATCCTTTTACGTAGGGACTGTCCAGTTTGGCTGATGTACATAGCAGAGGGGCATTGCTTGCACATGATGGCGTATATTACATTGGTGGACGTGCAGGTGAATAAACTGGTGAGGTTGTGGCTGATCTGGTTAGGTTCTGTGATGGTGTTGCTGGTGTAGATATGTGGGCAGAGTTGGCATCGAGGTTTGTTGCATGGATTGGTTCCTGAGTTAGAGTTACTATGGTGTGGTGTGTGGTTGCTGGTGAGAATATGCTTATGGTTGGTGGGTTGTCTGTGGGTGAGGACTGGCCTGCCTCCCAAGACCTGTGAAAGTGAGGGATCGTTGTCCAGGATGGGTTGTAGATCACTGATGATGCATTGGAGAGGTTTTAGCTGAGGATTGTAGGTGATGATCAGTGAAGTTCTGTTGGTTTCTTTCTTGGGCTTTTCTTGTAGCAGGAGGCTTCTGGGTACACGTCTGGCTCTGTTGATTTGTTTCCTTATTTCCTCATGCGGGTATCGTCGTTTTGAGAATGCTTGGTGAAGATCTTGTAGGTGTTGGTCTCTGTCTGAGGGGTTGGAGCAAATGCGGTTGTACCTCAGCACTTGGCTGTAGACGATGGATCATGTGGTGTGTCCGGGATGGAAGTTGGAAGCATGAAGGTAAGCATAGTGGTCGGTGAGTTTTCGGTATAGGGTGGTGTTAACATGACCGTCACTTATTTGTACCGTGGTGTCTAGGAAGTGGACCTCCAATGTAGATTGGTCCAGGCTGAGGTTGATGGTGGGGTGGAAGCTATTGAAATCGTAGTGGAATTCTTCCAGAGTCTCCTTCCCATGGGCCCAGATGATGAAGATGTCATCAATATAGCGTAGGTAGAGAAGGGGCGTGAGTGGACGAGAGCTGAGGAAGCGTTGTTCAATGTCAGCCATAAAAATGTTGGCATATTGTGGGGCCATGCAGGTGCCCATAGCAGTGCCACTGGTCTGGAGGTATATATTGTCACCAAATTTGAAATCATAGGCATGCACAGCCCATTTCATTAGGGTGTGCACCCAGGGAGCCCTGCCCTAGCCCCGCCCCCGCCCTGCCCTAGTCCCGTCCCCATCCATTCCCTCCTACTTCCCGCCCCCTGACTTCCCCCCTCACAACCCTCAACCCCCCCTGCTCCTTGTCCCCCCCGACTACCCCCTCCTGGGACCCCTGCCCCTAACTGCCCCCCAGGACTCCACCCCCTATTTATGTACAGGCGTGACTACCTGCCCTTTCCTGGTTACTATACGCGGCCAGTCCGCATCCACATCCAGTAGTTAAAATAAATAAATAAATAAAATAATAATTTACATTTTAAACCTCCCTGCTCCTTGTCCCCTGACTGCCCCCCTAGAATCCTACCCCCTACCTCTCCCCTGACTGCCCCGACCCTTATCCACACCCCTGCCCCCAGACAGACCCCCGGGACTCCCACACCTACTCAACTGCTCCCCACCCCGACAGGGCCCCCAGAACTCCCGACCCATACAACCCCCCCGCTCCCTGCCTCCCCCAACCCCTCTCCACACCCCTGCCTCCAGACAGACCCCCGGGACTCCCACACCTACTCAACTGCTCCCCACCCCGACAGGGCCCCCAGAACTCCCGACCCATACAACCCCCCCGCTCCCTGCCTCCCCCAACCCCTCCCCACACCCCTGCCCCCAGACAGACCCCCGGGACTCCCACACCTACTCAACTGCTCCCCACCCCGACAGGGCCCCCAGAACTCCCGCCCCATACAACCCCCCCGCTCCCTGCCTCCCCCAACCCCTCCCCACACCCCTGCCCCCAGACAGACCCCCGGGACTCCCACACCTACTC